TAGCTAGGGCTCTTCACAGTGTGATGTCCTCTTCCCCCCACCCCAATGCGTGCAGTTACTGCTATCAAGTCCTTACATATTAATTTAATATTATTAAAGCGCTTACATAGTATTATTCTGCCTCGGCCGGGGGGATGGTGGGGGAGGGGTAGCGGCCCAGCCCGCAGCCTGGCAATGTCTCACCTCCTCCGGCTTGCCAATCTAGGCGAGGCCGTGGGCTCTGCACGGGACGAGGCGTCACCACGCCAATATAACGTACAATTTTATTGCATCTTTCCCTAGCAACTGAGGTTTATTGTTCACTGTTATTAAACAAATCAGTTTACAAATATTACAATGATAATGTTTGTGTGCACATAACAACTCTGCTTGATTGTTTACTATTATGAAACTAATAAGTTGCCTAATATTACAATTATAATGTTCGTGTGCAGAAACTACATGTGTGTCCCTAAAGTCGATGTCTGTGTGTGTGAGTCCATATGTGTTTGTGTGCGTGTAAGTCGATGGGTTTCTATGTGTGTGGGTCCATGTGTGTGTCTGTCTTTTTCAAACGGACAACGCCCCATGTGTGTGTGTGTACGTACAAGTGTTTGTGTGTCAGTCCATTTGTGTGCGTATCACTCGCTGTGTGTGTGTTAGTCCACATGTGTGTGGAAGTCCATACGTGTGTGTTTCAGTCGATGTGTGTGTGTCTAAGTGAATGCGTGTGTGTGAGTCGATGTGTGTGCATGGCTCCATCTGAGTGTGTAAGTCAATGTGCCTTTGTGTGTCTATGTGTGTCAGTAGATGTGTGTGTGTGTAAGTCCATGTGTGTGTGTCTTAGTCCATATGTGTGTGTGTAAGTAAATGTGTGTTTACGTCAATGTGTGTGTGAGTCCGCGTATGTCTGTGTGTGAGTCGATGTGTGTGTGTGAGTCGCTGTATGTGTGTACGTCGATATATGTGTGTGTAACTCCATGTGTGTGTATCTAAAGTGCATGTCTATGCTTGTGTGAGTCCATATGTGTGTGTGTAAGTCCATGTGTTTGTGTGTGTGAGTCCATATGTCTGTGTGTGTCAGTCCATGGGCGTCTGTGTTAGTCGCTTTGTGTGCGTGACTCCATGTCAGTCAGTGTAAGTCCATTTCTTTGCGTGTCTGTAGGTCCATGTGTGCATGTGAGTGAATGTATGTGCTTTATTGACCTGCTCAAGGCCTATGATACCATCAGTAGGCCTAGCCTCTGGGTTGTTCTTCATGCTTTCGGAGTCCCTCAAACTTTGCTCACGATCCTTAAGGACCTTCATGATGGTGAGCGGCCCCACGTCAAACGACGTGACCGTCAGTCAGAGCCATTCCCTCTACACCTTGGGGTGTGACAGGGATGTCCTCTGGCTCCACATTATTTAACATATCTTTTGATCACGTAGTTCGTGAAGCCTTCAATGGCTGTACCCGAGGAATTACCATATGGTACAGATACAATGGGAGGCTGATCGATGCCCGGGTGCGATCAAGGGATGCCGCCCTATTGCTCAACCATGTTATGTATGCCGATGCTCTGGTGATTGCAGCTCACTGCTGCTTAAATTCGAGCTTGCCACTAAGAGGTGGGGCCTTATCATCAGCCCCACCAAAACTAAGCACCTGCCTGGGTATTTTGTACCATCGGACAATTCACCCCCACAACTCACAATCGGTGAAGGGGTGGTTGTGGAAGATCTTCGCCGGTTACAAACATTTAGGCTGGCCTGCTAACGATCCATCCTGGGTTTAACCATATGTGTGTGTGTGTCTCAGTCGATATGTTTATATGTGTGTGGGTTGATGTCTGTGTGTAAGTCCATGTGTGTGTCTGCCTTTTTCGCCCGGGCAACGCCGGGTACTTGCCGCTAGTTATAAATAATATATGGATTTGTTGCATGTGTGTGTGTGATTTTGTGTGGTTTTCGCCGCTGGGTTGGTGCCCATTAATATTTACATCACTCAAATTGCATATAAAGTGAGAGATGGTTGAAAGGCAATATCTATTTTAAAAGGAATGTCTGGCATTGTTTAATGAAATGAAGTGGGGGAGAAATGTTCCTAATTGGATTTCATGAATGGATATGCATAGTTTCGGCAGGCCAGAGGCCACATACTGAGACATCAAAGCAAGGGAGACCTGTCCTGTTGGGGTAACGCAACTGCGCCCTCTTGTGACTGTTCAGCATATGAGCAATATGCACATGGACCTGGCATCGACAAGCGATGTTGTTGTCCCTCACCCTGCACCTCCGATGAAGCACGGTTTGCTGCGTACGGTGTGAAAGAAGTTTAACATTTATACAAACTACACAGCTCTTCGATGTGTATCGCACGTTGGTCGGCACGATGCCCGAAGTTTTGCACCACGTGCTGGGAGCTATTCGGTCCCTGAAGAAGCTCCCAGCACGTGGGAGCTGAAACGTCGGACGTGATGACAAGCAGTGCACGGACCCACCCGAAAACCTACGCAGCAGGAATACGCATTGAATGTAGACTGAAGGACTGACGTCAACATTGTTATGTTGTCAGGACAGCAAGGTAAAGAATGTGCAGCTTTATGAACAAGTATATAAATAAGCCACGTGTCATGTACGTGAAGTCAGGTCAAAGTAATTTCTTGCTCAAATCAGCAGTGAGATGGTACTTATCTCCAGTTTACAGCCCCTGAGCCAGCAGTGGATGCTACACATTCATATGGAGGGGCCCAGTATATCAACCTCCTGTTGACTTTCCTCACAAAGCGGCACAGTACGCATATGTAATGTATCCTTAGAAAGTTAAAATATAGCAAAACAAAATTAATTGAAGACAATTCAGAACAGTTACATGTATATCTTTAAATGGTGGGAGAAACAGTTTTATCGTGGGCGTCATCGCGTAAGCAAAATGCGTGTACAATGAAATGATGTGTAAATTAATCGCTCATTAGTGCACACCCACGATGCGCTCGCTGGTCGTTCCTGACAACATGACCCTCACTGGTGTGGGAAACACCTCCTGCCACCGGACTGAATTATTGATAATTTCACATTCAATGCACGTCCCACTCTTGTTATTGACAGCGCCCGAGGTGATATAGCATCCTGCATAAAACTGCCCGCTGCCCATAATCAGAGTGCATTCACTTATTTCTCACTCGGCCGCGAAACGTGATATTTCCCCAGCCATTTTATTGTCAAACCCCTACCGTTTCCGGTAAGGGGTAATACAGCGTTTGGTGAAATAGGTTGCAGAGATAGAGACAGGTGAAGGCTGTTAGCTCATTTGCGTTCTTATCCTTGTAAATTATACATGTGCGGACAGTTAGACGTGTCGACTGTGCAACAGCCAAGGGCTCTAGCGGAAAAAAAGCGAAAGCCAGATGCGATGGCATGAACCGGATTAAGGATAAGGATGTGCATTATGTAGAGCACTTAAATTCCTCCGTGAGTCAAAGTGCTTTTTTTAATCACATCTCATCTCAACTGTTCCATTGCCCCGCTGCAGTCTAGATAAAGGGGATTGCTCCTCAGTGGCAGCTGTCTTCATCTGGACATGAGTCTGCCAGCAGGTTACGATGTTGTTGTGAGATCCCCCCACCCCGCCAATTAAATAACTTGTCGCTACGTCCGATGTGTAGATTTTGGACTGTGACGCAGGCACCCGTTGGAACTCCTCGTCTTTTTCGAAAAATGCCGCGAGATATTTAACGTCAACCGTGAAGCAGACGGCGCGTACATTGCATTGAACTCGGCAGGACTCTCCTAAAAAAAAAGTCATGAGACTCAGTGATGTTTTCCTCGGTAAAGAATCGTAATAATGATAATTAATATATATACGCATTTTTTATTTTACCAGATAAGGCCCACTGAGCTATGCAGTTTTTTTTTCCCCGAAAGCGACCTGGCCACAAATTATAGCTAAATGAAGTGACTTATCACGTGGTCACGTATAGCAGCTCAATAATCTGAATCCACGTTGATTCTAAATATGGAGGGAAAAACTGGAGGACCTGAAAAAAATCCACTCCAAATATACAACAGGCATCAGGATCGAACCCACCACATCCTGTATACTAGGTGAGGGTAGTTAACAATTAACATCTCGCCACCGTGGCGCCCACATGCCTGCAGTATCAACCAGGGCGGTCGCTGCGCTCGGAACTTACGAAACCTCTACAACGAGTGGCGTCCGCGCCACCGCTCATCCCCTGGGTCACGATGACCTCTTGACCTTGACCTTTCACTGCGGCACCTCCCCTCCCCGCCCTGCCCCGCCAGGTCCCAACTGCTATGTGGACGCGGGCGGGCGGTGCGTGATCCCCGGCGGGAGCCACGTGTGGCTGGACGAGTGCACGCGCTGCCGTTGCCACGACGGCCTCGAGGCCGGCTACTGGGAGGGCAACCGCGTGGCGCGCTGCGAACGCCTCCGCAGGTGCGCGTCCAGCCAGCAGGGGGAGGAGGAGGAAGCGGCCGAGGCGGCAGCGGAGACGGGACGGCAGCAGCAGCAGGGAGTCCTCTGAAGAGTGCCACGAGGGGTTGCGTTCGTACGGCGGCGCCTTTCCCTACATCCCACGGCGTTGCAACCATTTGGCCGACTGGTGCGGCTGCAGACATAAGCGACCCTATGACGTTAACACCGACGTCTGGGTTATATTATTGTTATTATTGTTGCTATAGCGTTGCCACCTTGTCCTAGTTTTCCCCCATAATCGTGGCTGTGCTGGGAATCCAGTAAACTGTTCCCCCCGAGGAAAGTGAAAAGTCTAGTTTTTTGTCAGTTACGTTAGAGTGCAACCACACGAGATGATGCATTAACACCAGCATGGTTCTCCCATCTTCAGCTTATACAGTACAACGTATTATTATCAAGATATGTTTAAGTGGTTTGTCCCTCAGAGATGGCAACCCGAGTCATATAAGTAGAAGGACTGTGGAAGACGTCGCTATTTCGTCGTATTCATTACTTATGTCGCCCAGTGTTCGTGTGCATCTTTGTGTATGTGTATGCATGCATCTGTGTCCCATGAGGTTGCGATATTTTTGTGTCAACCACACTTTATAAATGTGCATCTGTTCCAGAGGCAGGGTTGCTAACCGTGAGGCAAATGCATAAACGCGCACCCTTTCTTCGCATGGTACACTACATTTCAGGGACAGCAGCAATGCCACAATTTAATTTATCTGTGGGATTGACCCAATCTGCCTATTGCAAATAAATTCTGATAGTTTATTAAAATCCCTTTTTGGGAAGTTTGGGAATTCCATTATTGAGAGGCATGTGCGAGGAAATCAGAGTACCAGGAGAAAACTCCCACACATGAGGGGGTAACACTCAAAAGCTCTGCACAGATGGATTTAATAATCTATTAGCAAAACGCTCCTTCGGAGTGGGCAGGTAGGAACTTGGTTGGACAGCGCATTCGTGCGATCCGTGTCACGCGGCGCAAGCTGTGTGGGGCGGCGCGTCACGTAGTGCTGAGCCCGCCCGAAGCGTTCTATGAAATACAAATCGAGGGCGTGGCTATGCACGACAGACAGACAAATAATCCCTGGTGGGCAGTGTGGAACTGTTGTTCCTACCTGTATTATTATACTGTATCACCTGACCATCTTGTAGTCAAACAAGTAGCCAGCAAGATTCAGTTTTCGAAATTAGTTATTGGTTCAAGGCCCGACACGAAATGACTTTTGAGTTTCTCAATGATGACTTTTAGAATGTTCAGGGAGTTTGAGACAATTCGTTCCACAAGCGCAATATTATTTTGTATAGAACATTAAGACTATGATGACAATGATGACGACGTGCTCCTGTGTTACCACTAATGGGCAAAATGTAATTACGTGAAACTAAACTCTTGAAAAAGAAATGCCATGGTAGTCTTTAAGATGAATTCCCGGGCACACTCCACATTCCTCAGTGCTGTAATATTACGATTTTAGAGATTGAATTAACAGTATTAGACAATATTATATTATTGCCATCATCTTCATCATCGTTTCACGTGCCCCTTGAAGCGTTGCTTGGCATCAGACAAGGATCCCCAAAAACGTACGAGCCACTTGGCATACCTTCGGGAATCCGCAAAAAGTTTATTTTCTGTGCTTTTACACACACGCAATCGTTTTTACCCGTGAAAGCGTGAGTTTAAGACAACTCTTCGTACTTTACGCGATCGCAGCCCTTATTAAACGGCACATTTTGTAATGATTGTGTCACGGTAAAGTATGCTTTGCATAAATACTTAACTTTTTGTTTTCAAATTGCCGACAAACTTAACTGTAATAGAATGCCTGCAACATAAACTCTAAACGCAGCTCTGATGCAGAGCTCAGATAATTACTTCTTTTCTTTTTTTGCTCTTGCAGTTGTAGAGGTGTTACGGGAGGGCGAACAAACACACCAGGGGTGGTTATGCCCGCACGCGGAAGGATGCTTACATCCACGTCCACACCGTTTAGCCTGGGGGGCTAAAACGGCGCTGTGATCCCCCACGGCCCCACCCCTCAGGGGAGTTGCTATATAAGGCGGTGAGCCGGTGGGCTCGGGGTTCAGTGTTTAGCTTAAACCAGCGAAGAAGGAAGACCGGCTAGATAGGCCCTTGGACTCCCCTGGATCGCCATCCTTCTAAGGACCGACCAGGGCAAGCCAGTGGCGTGGCCCCGAGAGCCCAGAACCGATGCTCTTGTAACAGCCGGTCTTGGGACTCAGGGTGCCGTAATCCCAGCTTGGTCAGAGCTGGGTCAGCTAGCCTCCCCTAGCTCTGTAGTGGAGGACCTGGGAGTAGGCTAGCCGAGATAGAGATTGTGGGGTTCCCTGTTAGACGGGTGAAGGGGCCGATACCCCTTCGAGTGTTGTATATCTTGGCCTGTATATAGTGGAATGTTCAATAAATAAGTGTGCCTCCGACTACGTCGTCCAAGTCTCTTTGAACCTACTACACAGTGACAGTTAAATTATTATAATTTACTTTCTAGAAATGAACGCCATTGGTTGAACAGAAGGGCAATTTTAGATATGAACTCCGGCGCAGGTCGCAGCTGGGCAGGGTAGCTCTCTAAAGTATTCTGGGTTGTTACCGCGTGTTCTTTGGTATGTGGTCCGACGTTTCACTCCACGTTCCAGAAGCTTCTACACGTATTGCATTAAATTCAGTGCAGCGAAACGTCCGACATAATGCCGAACTACACGTTGTACAACCCAAAAGCACAGTTTATAACACAACGTTTGTTTTTAGTTTGGCATTCAACAAGTAAAAAAATAAAGGATTAAGCCCTACATATGGTGATAAAAAATAATGAAAAATGGGCTTTGATAAATACCACATTGGCCAGAAGTTACGGAAAAAGTTGTGCCCAGAAATGTATGGGCAAAAACGTTAACTGTCAACCGTGTAATGTTTATTTTTACGTATCTAAGGTTACACAGAATGTATTGTAAGAACACACGTATAGGTTTTGCTGTGATGTGGCACAGCAGATTGTGTGTACATCGTTAATCAATAGAGCAGCATATGGTTTTAATATTATTTTATCTTATTTATTCCTTTTTTTAAATCCTTTATATTAAGTTCACTTGCTTGCGCGCTTACGACCGTGCAAATCGTCCGGTCGTTTATTAACCCACTTCCCGTGATCCAATCGAGCTGCCATTTTGCACACAGACTCGTTGTGCGTGACAATTTATTTTCGTGAAAAAAATATTTCCAAAATTTTACACTTTTTAGGATTTTTTTTTTATATTTAATTACCAATTGCTTAATGGTGGCAGGCAATCATCTGACCCATAGGTGGCAGCCATCTCAAGCCAGAGGACGAGAGGACTCGAGCCGCCAAGCATATAAAAGATTTATAGTGAAAAACTTAGTTTTTACGGGTTAATTTTTTAATCCTTTATATTAAGTTAACTTGCTTGCTTGTTTGCGCGCTTACGACCGTGCAAATCTTTCAGTCGTTTTTAAACCCACTTCCCGTGATCCAATCGAGCTGACATTTTGCACACAGACTCGTTTGGCGTGACAATTTATTTTCGTGAAAAAAAATATTTCCAAAATTTTACACTTTTTAGGATTTTTTTTTATATTTAATTACCAATTGCTTAATGGTGGCAGGCAATCATCTGACCCATAGGTGGCAGCCATCTCAAGCCAGAGGACGAGAGGACTCTAGCCGCCACGCATATAAAGGATTTAAAAAGCAACGAGCCTACCTTTACCCTACCTTTTACCCTTATCCCATACAAATTACCCGATTACAGGGAAATTACTGGGGTACAACACATGAAAAAGGTTTATAACGATAAATGCTAGGTAGAGCACTTTATACATATAGAATACTCTCGAATCGGGCGTTGAGGCTATCGACGACACCGTCCTCTATAACCTCCTCGTCCCAGTCGTCTTGGTTGATGGCGATCTCATCAACAACCTGATCAAGTTCGTCATTGACATCGTCCTCGGACGAACGACAGGCAATAAGATCCTGCGCCGCTCCGGCCCAGTTAGACGGAACCTTCAGGCAGCCGACATCCCGACTTCGCTGCCTGGGGCGAGCGCGTTGTGCTTCTTGAGGTGGGCTTTCCACCCCGACGCGTTCGTGTTGGTGGAAAACCACTTGCGGCAGTGCATGCACTGCCGCTTCCCTTGCTGTACATGGGGGTCACCCTCCATCCAATCGTGCGTGTGCTCCCACGGGAACGCATGCCGCTGCCTCTTTCGATTGCTGTTCGCAGCAACCCCAAAAATGCCTTTGCTGGCATCCTCGATCTCGTCTACCCCAAGAACGTGGTCCGTCTCCATCTAGGTCCGACATCAATTATCGCAATTTATAATGGAGGCCACGGACTGTACCACAGGAGCTTTTAGCTGTAAACAATGTACTGTATTTACCGGGCAATTATTCGCGCTACCTTTACCCTACCGGGTAATTATCTTCGAATGCTCGTTAAGTGAGACACACCTGTACTTAAAATAATCATTTGTGGCACTTTTGTTTGGCCATACTTTACCACACCGGTCATGATGGGTGGGTGAAAGAGGAAGGGCAGGGTGAGGACACCTCCGGACCTCTTCAGATATCACTTGTCATTGATGTCAGGCATGACGTGAGATCCAACTTGGGTTGCTGCGTTCATGACCTCCAGGCCAACAATCATCCCCACTAAAAGCCAGGGTGTATTAATTAAAAAGTGTACGAGGGCGGTAGTATTTTTATTTATTTTACTACTACTACAGCATTTTAAAAAGTAACTAAAACATTTTACTTTCAGGGATTTGTCATTATACTTCTATTCCCAACAAATAGCCCAAGAGTTTCTCCCCAAGATTCTCGCCTTTAAGTGGACATGTGCGCCGCGTAACCCAAGCATGGCTCCCTGCCACCGAATCAACGCCACGCCGTCGTTACACCACGTCACAAAAGGCAATTGAGATTCGAAGCTTTTGTGACTGCAGGAATACTCTTTGGTTCTTTCGGTAAAGTCACGTAGAAAATATTGTTATTTGATTTTATTTTATACGTGACTTTACCAAAAGAACCAAAGAGTAAAAGGCAAATGCTGGTCCAGCCGACATACAGAAACTGCAGACCGATCTCCAACCTCACGTTCACGTCTGGGGTTGTTGAGAAGTTGGTATCCCATCAGCTCGTCGCATTCCTTGAACAACACTACCTGTTTACAGCTTCAAAATCTGCCTACAAGGAGCATCACTCAAGAGACTACTCGAGTCTCAGATGCTCTGTTAGCCAATTGACTTGGTCGACTTGTGGGCGCTGCGGTTGCGAGATGTAAACTTCCTTGCCTGGTATACAGGAGGCCGTGGATTTGATCCCCACCCTGATGCCTGTATATTTGGAGATTGCATGTTCTCCCCGTGGTCGCATGGATTTTTCTCCGGGTCCTCCGGCTTTTCCCTCCCCATTTAAAATCAGGGTGCGTTTGGAGTATTTGGCTGCTACAAATTTCCACGCGATAACCCACTAAGTTGAGCTATCATTTGTGATAGCCAGGTCGCTTCTGAAAAACAGCTATACCCGGTAAAAAAAATTTGTTTAGTTCAATAGTTTAGATATGTCCGCTGCTTTTCACGTGGTCGACCTCAAAATTGTTCTTCAACTTGTCTTCACGCCATCGTGAATCGATTATTTTCCTCTGGCAGCAGACACGGACTGCAGGCTTTGCTGGTCAGCAGTCAACCAATTTCAGTCCTCCATTGTGGAACACTGCAACGAAGTGTTGCAGGTCCAGCACTGTTTATACTTTGCAAGGTTGACATCTCTAGTCACTCAGTGAGACGGTCTTGGTATTCCACTCGAAATGCTGACATCAGGTAGCTTTACATTTCATGATAAAGCCGCTTCATGTGTCGCGTCGTTACATTGACAACATCGAACCAGTGGATGTGATTACATCGGCTAAAGTTAAATGCTGAGAAAAGCCAATTCATCCGGCTAAGTATCAGGTAGCAACCTGTCAAAGATCTGTTTCGGGTTATCACCCCAAGAGGCACAGCCATCCCAACTGTCTGTTGCCGTCAAGCGCCTGGGAGTCAATCTTGTTCCTGAACCGACATTCGCTGCACGCATGCAACATTTGGCTGGCAGGTGCTGTTACCATCTTCGGCGGCTGCTCACGGCACGTCATTCATTGACTTTCGATGCAGCCAAGATACCAGTCCACGCGTCCATCAGCAACCTTGTGTACTCCTGTTACAGTGTCTTCAGCTAAGCACGGTGCCGTCCATCTGCATCCACTCTGGTCTGTCCTCAATTCGACGAACATTGTGACAAAGTGCACTGGCTGCCAATTAAAGCAAGGGTCGACTACAAGCCCTGCTCGTTCTTTGTATGTATATATGTATGATGAACTTCTTTAGCACCGTACGTAGCCAACCGTCCTATTCGTAGGTGCAGGGAGAAGAATCCAAGCTAAACGCAAAAAGCAGTTCTAAAGTATTTAGTTTTCAATCTAGATTTAAAAGTGCAAAGGTCCACAAGAATTTGCATCAATCTTCTCTGCATTACCAGACGGACGTGTTCATGACAATACACTCAATCGTAAGTCGTCATCTTCATTTGCCAGTACCACGGTGACTTGATTGTTCCATGCACTTGGACGGTGAGATTTAGACCACGCAGCGTCGCTGTCAGTGGTTCCATAAACCTGGAACTCGCTACCACTGCACGTTAGAAATTGTTTGCAAACATTTAACGAGTAGTATAAAATGCAAGACTGAACAATTTCATAGTGCTTACAATGCATAAAAAAATTCACACTCATGATAACCTAGGTTATAAGAGTTGCACGTTCGCAAAGGTACAGGATTCATGTGAATGAATTTTACGTTCGGATGATTTTCTAATAATTTCCAACTACACTTAGTAAGTTTATTGCAGTCCATAGCATAATATAGGCAGGATATTTTGAACAGTTTGTCTAATTGCAAGCATTTTAATCACCCCTGGATAAAGCTAGATTTAAAGGTGCCATCCAGAAACGGTTCGACCTCGCCATTTCTGACGACGTGTCTTGAAAGAGGTAGAAGTACCCGCACTTTACCCCACCACACACGCCCGGTGGGGAAAGGGCAGCGGGCTGGGGGGGGGGGAGATTTTAAAAAAATGTGCCCATTGTTTCAACTGCTGCACTGGGAGATAGAACAGGCGACGGTGCTCTGAGCCCTGGATGTGTGCTCACTAATTCATGAATCTCTGTCCCTCACTGTCGCTATGCTTGTCAGTGGTCATGAATTCAAGTGTTGGCACAGTGCAGCGTATCGTTCATTTTTAAAAAAGCACCAGTTTAAAACACGCATCACCGTGAATTACAGAACAGTCGGTCGTCGAGTAAAGGACCACCCACACTGCCACCCTCTGTTTGCCCCCAGGAGGAAGCTGTGCCCTCCGACACAGAATGGCTTGGACGCTCAGTGGCGTTGTCGCTTGTTGCGGTGCCCCCACACTTGATTGCCCGGCGACCGCTTGCCCACCTCCACGATCACCTTGGTGTACAGGTGCCATCGCTCCGCCTTAACGAGCTTGTACTCCAAGGTGTTGATGCCGTCCCTCCACATGGTAAAGGCCGTCTTAGTGATTTGCCAGCTCCTGTGTGCAGGGGTCACGGGCAGATAACGACATCAGGGGAGCAGCCAGACGTTTTTTGGCGCATGGTGCGAGAGCAAAGCATGGTGCCATCCTTGCACCCCCCCCCCCCCCGCAACTGCTACAGCAGCGAGGACACCACCCCCATCAAAAACATGAGCCACCAGTCGTTGCTGTTTGCCTTCATCGATTCACCGAAACATTTCAGCGACGCCACCCCCCAGGAGGGGTGCCCAGGGCTGCCGCCCCACCCGGACCCCCCCTCCCACCCACCACACCCCCGTCTGCCCAGCCAACCCCACAGCTGCTACGGCATCGATCAACATGACCTCAGCGGCGGCCTTAGGCATTATGAGGTCAGCACCAAGCAATGTGTTTCATGGCCACGTATGAGAAATGGAAGTGGCAAAAAGTTACTCTGTTGAAACGGCCATGCTTTTGAGAGAGCGTCTTCCAATTCAAATCGGCCTTGCGGACGTGAAACGTTTAAAATGTAATCCGATGCAATGACGAGCACTTTCACTGTTTGTGGTATATTTTGTTATCATGACTCTAGGACTACACCCATTATAAACCAATAATACCGTTTGTATTCAGCAGCTTTCCCCCTCTTTCTTCCTGATCGCGATCGCTTGTGTTGTGATCGAAGCGTCCAAGTTTTTTGTTTATTTTATATTTATGTTTATTAATTTGTACCTATCTACGTGACTCTACCGAAAGACCCAAACAATATTTGTTATCGTGAGGTTTGCCGGACGTTCAGCGGACGCGTGGGTTGTTGTACCGTATTATGGCTCCAACGTCTATGCTTCTTGCCTTTACCAGATAGAGTAAAATTGCTCTCCCGATCCACACGGGCATGGATAGCCCCTCATCGAAGCAGCGGATTGACATAGGACTTTACATGTACATACGTGAAGAGGTGGCCATGTCATCAGTGGCACAAATCGTTTCTGCATCCCAGCACATGGCACATGGGCCACAGTAGTCTTCGGTTTCACTGGAGATGATGAACTTTAAGGGATACCAATTTCCTTTCATCCAGTGGTGGATGCCAAACAGGCTGCATGTCCGTGCGCACACCGCCGATTAACACGGTTGGCTACGTACGGTGCGAAAAGAAGTTCAACATACATACGCACACATTCCTGTTTAGCAAAGTGCGCACTCTGGTACTGATCAAACTGCTTTAGATGTATTCAAGACACTCCCAGAGTGTTGCTGCAAAAATGTGTTCAACGTGTGTCCGTGTGAGATCTGGAATTTGCCCGACGGGAACGCACAGATTTCAACTTGTCCCCACCCCACTTTTGACCAAAAAAGCTCTGACACAAATGCCCAAATGATTATTGCCTTGCATGCAGATATTGTGCGTCGTGTAAAGGGAGGCTCACCGGAATGGGTTGTTTTCATTGTGAGCGTCTCGATCGTGTCGAATCATTCTGTACCTCCCAATCGTCATGTCAGGACGCGAGATGTTCATTCCCACTTTTATGATCCTAGCGCACAACGCAGCTTCACAGCTTTACATGTCAACATTACACACAATAACAGCCCTCACATTGCTGTGTATATCGTCTTTGCAGAATTGTTTTTGAATATCGCAATTTCGTCCGTAATAAATTCCCTTTGCCAAGCCATTCTCTCACAGTATTCCCGCGTACTGGCACCACGAGATCCACTATCATGGGAGGCACGAAATGAATATGAAATATTGATGGTCTATGAATCGGATTGGTGTTTAACAGTCTAAACACACGCATCTCACTACAGACTCACCTGAATTCTTAGCCAAAAAATACACCTGCCCTTAAAAGGATCGAATTCTCATCATCATGATCAACCGTGAACAATTTATTATGCTTAATACAACGACCGGCATTTAATAAAACACAAAACGCGTGGTATAATTGCATCTAGTGTTAGTAAAAGTCCATTGTCAATGTTACCAATTTCTCCATGCTGATGTTTCACAAAATACGTGGATGGCGCACATGATTTTCGCAGGGAGTCCATGACATGAACAAAATAATTTAAATAATATAAATTTGGATAAAATTTGGATTATTGAAATTATTTATGCGACTATAAATATCCACGTGATAGGCTACTTTGTTGAGCTATCATTCGTGACCAGGTTGTTTCTAAAAAATAAGTGAATAGCTCAGTGGGCATTACTCTGAAATAAAAATAGTTTAGTTTACTTGTATATTTTTGTTTCAGTGATTTGTTTGCCGTTCCTATACTGTGCACGCCCATCGTGTTTTTGTATTGTTTGTTGTTGTAAGGTTCTCACCCGCCCCTACTGGACATCTGTGAAAAATAACTTTATAGCTCATCGGATTCCTCCTGCAGTCTAAATAAATATTCTGATTCTGAACCCGTATTGTGCATTGTGGTGCGTACATCTCTTGGAAACCCTGCCAAGTTGTAAGGCTGGTGCCATCGATAGAGGTAAAAGTTAAAGGTGCAGCCCTGCATTTGTTGGCTCATGCCGCTGCTGCTGCAAAAGGGCCTCCACTATGTGGAGCTCCAGAGAGCCTCGATGGAGTGAAATCGACCCACTCTTTACACACCGGACAGACGTCTTGGAAGAGGCAGGAGTACCGACATTTTAAACCACCACCACTACAGGCGACCTTCTGATCGGAAAAATTTGGTGCACCCATGCGTACTGCTGGGTGGACAGAGTTTTGGGGATTTAGGATAACTTGCACCATCGGTTCAACTGCTGTGCCAGGAGTACAAATAGAGCCAGCGACATCTGCGTTGAAATCGAGTGGACTAACCAGTACATAAATGGCAGAAACCTCTGCTGAGAGATAATTTTTGATCAATTATCTCAAACATCATTGAGCCATTTTACATTAAAACTTTGGCCATGACCTTCTTTTGTTTTAAGTCAGGCCTCAGAATGTGTCTCTTTGTTAAGTAATGTTCTAAACTGGCACGGCTAATGAGAGGGGGAAGTGCGGTGTGTTGTTGATCCCTGCACAATAATTTGTCGAGCAGGCTGTGATGATATATGGAAAAGTTTTTTTCTTCTTGGTTCTTTCGGTAAAGTCACGTGGAAGGGAAGTAATAAAATAATAAAAATAAAACATAATAAAACAATTCTCACGACGTTTCGGCCACAACGCAAGCAGCCGTCCTCAGGTGAAAACCAGGTCCGTCGAGGCGACAGAGTCTGAATGAAACAGCACACGAGCTTGGAGCATATATATAAGCTGGGCGCATTGACAAAGGAATTTGCATATCAAAAGGAATTTAGCATATTTATGGGAAATGCAGGAATGTGATTAGTACTGCATATGCATGTGCATTATGCAGGATTAACAGCATCAAAGGGAGCTGCAGTTACTGCTGCTGCAGCAGTTGCTGCTGCTGCAGTTTCTGCTGCTGCTGCAGTTGCTGCTGCTGCTGCAGTTGCTGCTGCTGCTGCACTTGCTGCTGCTGCTGCACTTGCTGCTGCTGCTGCAGTTGCTGCCTTATCCATTTTAATATAACACTATGTATTATTCTACCCACCCTAATGTGTATCATACTGCTATATGTTTACTGTACAATTACGACACCATACATTACTCTGCACACTGCACCATGCCAGTGAGTGGAACGCGGTCTGAAAGTCACCGTAAACGTGAACACAATCAGTTAAGATCCGAAATGGTTTATTACGTCCTTCCAATGATTGCTAAGCCAGAATCCATCTTCTCGGTTGAAATTGTCTCTGTGTTTGTATATGTGGATCGCCTCATGAACGAATCTCTCATGATAGCCAGATGGCTTGCAGAGAACCTCTGTCTTGGAGAAGTCAATGTCATGTGAGCCCACTGAATTGTAACAGTGATCTGCCACGGCTGAGGTGTTTGTCCTACCGTGTTTCAGGTCTGCCTTATGTTCACGGATGCGGTCCGAGACATGTCGTTTGGTTTCTCCAATGTAACTGCTACCACAGAGGCAACTTAGTTTGTAGACGCCAGGGTACTGTATGTCTGGAACCACATCTTTTACAGACGGGACCAGATCACGGATTTTATGTACTGTGTTGAATCGGACCTGGATCTTGTGTTTAATCAGGATTTTGTAGATCTTTTTTGTGACCCCAGCAATGTAGGGTAAGGTGATGGTCTTGAAAGGCTCCTCAACAGGATCCTTCTTGATGGTTGGAGTGATGGCTTTGCGGATTGTGTAGTCGGAGTAACCATTAGCCTTAAGAGCTTGGCGTACGTGTTTGAGTTCACTGGAAATGTGTTCATGGTCGGAGATGCATTGGGCTCTATGATATAGAGTCTTGATGAGGGAATTCTTCTGGGATGGATGGTGGTGGGAATCCGGTTTTAGATAAGCATCCGTGTGGGTGGCTTTCCTGTAGACAGAGTGGCTCATTGAACCATCAGGTCTCCTTTTGATTAGGACATCCAAAAAGGGTAGCTTGCCATCATTTTCGACTTCCATGGTGAATCTGATGGCTGGGTGTATGGAATTGATGTGGTCGAGAAATTGGTCTAGAGCAGGCCGGCCATGTGGCCAGATGACAAAAGTGTCGTCTACGTACCTCTTCCATAAGGTCGGGCGTAGAGTGGCAGTCTGGATGGCGTCCGTCTCAAATTTCTCCATGAAGATGTTGGCTACAACCGGAGATAGGGGGGAGCCCATTGGGGTGCCCTCAATTTGCTTGTAGAAGGTTCCATTCCAGGTGAAGTATGTATTGGTTAAGCAGTGTCTCACCAGGGGGGGTACCCCAGCATTCAGTCCTTAATGAACCAAGTCTTCAATGATTGCGATGGTGTCAGGCACAGGCACCTTGGTGAACAAGGAAACCACATCAAAACTGACAAGCAGGTCGTCTGGGGACAGGGCAATCCCCTTGATTGTCGATACCAGGTCAGTAGAGTTTAGTACTGCAGAGGTGGTTTTTCCAGTGAAAGGCCGTAGGATTTCGGACAAAAAACGAGCCAGTTTGTAAGTGGGGGAGTTGATAGTAGAGACAATGGGACGAAGAGGTGTATCTTCTTTATGTATCTTTGGCAAGCCGTACAATCTTGGTGGCCTGGCTGCAGAAGGTTTCAACGAGAACTGTTTGGTCTGATCAATTAATGCGGTTGAAGCAGAAATGATGTTGTTGGTTTTGGAGACGAGGCTGTTGGTGGGGTCTCTTTTTATTTTTGTATAGCTGCCATCGTTGAGTAGTTCTTGAATTTTGTTGTTGTATTCTATTTTGTCCATGATGACAGTGGCATTGCCTTTGTCGGCTGAGAGGATGACAATGTCATCCCTCTTTTTTAATTGAGCTAATTCAAAACGCTCATCTTTGCTGATGTTGCTAGCTGGCATCTTAGCGTATTTGAGGGTTACAGAGATTTCAGATCTTGCTACGTCTGCAGCGATGTGACTCAAGCCCTTGAGAGCTACATCTACTCGAGCAATTATATCATTAACTGGTATGTGTCTAGGTGTGACTGCAAAGTTTAGTCCTTTAGCTAAAACGGATTTCAGACCTTCAGAAATAGGACTGTTACTGCGATTAATTACGACTTTGTTACCATCTAGCTTTTCAATGTGTGGGTCCGGTTTCTTGTTTGAGAGGCGGTTGAATTTGGAAATCAAGTTGTCCTTACATTTAGTCGACATAGCGGCAGCTGAAGAGGCAGTCATTTTTTCCACATGTTCCCAATCCGATGTGGACATTGTTACACTCAAAGATAAGTGTGATTTGTAGAGTGTCTTGTCTAACTGATCTAGTTCGGTGCGCGTAAGTCCGATTTTCTCTGAGATAAGAGCTAAGCTAGTTCTAGACAGAATTCGTTTCACATTAGAAGAAGTTACAGCAGCAGATGTTAGTGTAAATGCGTTTGGTATTACCTTAGAGTCGCGGCATCTCTTCAGAAAGGTGAGAGACTCGATTAGCTGAGCCTTCTTATCCCGGAGCTTGTTGAAGGATCTCAAAGTTATGTGGAAACCCTCCCCGTAGAGGCGGTTAAATTTCGATTTAAAGCTTTCGTGACTGCAGGGATTCATCTTCTTGGTTCTTTCGGTAAAGTCACGTAGAAGGGAAGTAATAAAATAATAAAAATAAAACATAATAAAACAATTCTCACGACGTTTCGGCCACAACGCAAGCAGCCGTCCTCAGGTGAAAACCAGGTCCGTCGAGGCGACAGAGTCTGAATGAAACAGCACACGAGCTTGGAGCATATACATAAGCTGGGCGCATTGACAAAGGAATTTGCATATCAAAAGGAATTTAGCATATTTATGGGAAATGCAGGAATGTGATTAGTACTGCATATGCATGTGCATTATGCAGGATTAACAGCATCAAAGGGAGCTGCAGTTACTGCTGCTGCAGCAGTTGCTGCTGCTGCAGTTTCTGCTGCTGCTGCAGTTGCTGCTGCTGCTGCTGCAGTTGCTGCTGCTGCTGCACTTGCTGCTGCTGCTGCACTTGCTGCTGCTGCTGCAGTTGCTGCCTTATCCATTTTAATATAACACTATGTATTATTCTACCCACCCTAATGTGTATCATACTGCTATATGTTTACTGTACAATTACGACACCATACATTACTCTGCACACTGCACCATGCCAGTGAGTGGAACGCGGTCTGAAAGTCACCGTAAACGTGAACACAATCAGTTAAGATCCGAAATGGTTTATTACGTCCTTCCAATGATTGCTAAGCCAGAATCCATCTTCTCGGTTGAAATTGTCTCTGTGTTTGTATATGTGGATCGCCTCATGAACGAATCTCTCATGATAGCCAGATGGCTTGCAGAGAACCTCTGTCTTGGAGAAGTCAATGTCATGTGAGCCCACTGAATTGTAACAGTGATCTGCCACGGCTGAGGTGTTTGTCCTACCGTGTTTCAGGTCTGCCTTATGTTCACGGATGCGGTCCGAGACATGTCGTTTGGTTTCTCCAATGTAACTGCTACCACAGAGGCAACTTAGTTTGTAGACGCCAGGGTACTGTATGTCTGGAACCACATCTTTTACAGACGGGACCAGATCACGGACGGCTGCTTGCGTTGTGGCCGAAACGTCGTGAGAATTGTTTTATTATGTTTTATTTTTATTATTTTATTACTTCCCTTCTACGTGACTTTACCGAAAGAACCAATAAGATGAATCCCTGCAGTCACGAAAGCTTTAAATCGAAATTTAACCGCCTCTACGGGGAGGGTTTCCACATAACTTTGAGATCCTTCAACAAGCTCCGGGATAAGAAGGCTCAGCTAATCGAGTCTCTCACCTTTCTGAAGAGATGCCGCGACTCTAAGGTAATACCAAACGCATTTACACTAACATCTGCTGCTGTAACTTCTTCTAATGTGAAACGAATTTTGTCTAGAACTAGCTTAGCTCTTATCTCAGAGAAAATCAGACTTACGCGCACCGAACTAGATCAGTTAGACAAGACACTCTACAAATCACACTTATCTTTGAGTGTAACAATGTCCACATCGGATTGGGAACATGTGGAAAAAATGACTGCCTCTTCAGCTGCCGCTATGTCGACTAAATGTAAGGACAACTTGATTTCCAAATTCAACCGCCTCTCAAACAAGAAACCGGACCCACACATTGAAAAGCTAGATGTTAACAAAGTCGTAATTAATCGCAGTAACAGTCCTATTTCTGAAGGTCTGAAATCCGTTTTAGCTAAAGTACTAAACTTTGCAGTCACACCTAGACACATACCAGTTAATGATATAATTGCTCGAGTAGATGTAGCTCTCAAGGGCTTGAGTCACATCGCTGCAGACGTAGCAAGATCTGAAATCTCTGTAACCCTCAAATACGCTAAGATGCCAGCTAGCAACATCAGCAAAGATGAGCGTTTTGAATTAGCTCAATTAAAAAAGAGGGATGACATTGTCATCCTCTCAGCCGACAAAGGCAATGCCACTGTGATCATGGACAAAATAGAATACAACAACAAAATTCAAGAACTACTCAACGATGGCAGCTATACAAAAATAAAAAGAGACCCCATCAACAGCCTCGTCTCCAAAACCGACAACATCATTTCTGCTTCAACCGCATTTATTGATCAGACCAAACAGTTCTCGTTGAAACCTTCTGCAGCCAGGCCACCAAGATTGTACGGCTTGCCAAAGATACATAAAGAAGATACACCTCTTCGTCCCATTGTCTCTACTATCAACTCCCCCACTTACAAACTGGCTCGTTTTTTGTCCGAAATCCTACGGCCTTTCACTGGAAAAACCACCTCTGCAGTACTAAACTCTACTGACCTGGTATCGACAATCAAGGGGATTGCCCTGTCCCCAGACGACCTGCTTGTCAGTTTTGATGTGGTTTCCTTGTTCACCAAGGTGCCTGTGCCTGACACCATCGCAATCATTGAAGACTTGGTTCATCAAGGACTGAATGCTGGGGTACCCCCCCTGGTGAGACACTGCTTAACCAATACATACTTCACCTGGAATGGAACCTTCTACAAGCAAATTGAGGGCACCCCAATGGGCTCCCCCCTATCTCCGGTTGTAGCCAACATCTTCATGGAGAAATTTGAGACGGACGCCATCCAGACTGCCACTCTACGCCCGACCTTATGGAAGAGGTACGTAGACGACACTTTTGTCATCTGGCCACATGGCCGGCCTGCCCTAGACCAATTTCTCGACCACATCAATTCCATACACCCAGCCATCAGATTCACCATGGAAGTCGAAAATGATGGCAAGCTACCCTTTTTGGATGTCCTAATCAAAAGGAGACCTGATGGTTCAATGAGCCACTCTGTCTACAGGAAAGCCACCCACACGGATGCTTATCTACAACCGGATTCCCACCACCATCCATCCCAGAAGAATTCCCTCATCAAGACTCTATATCATAGAGCCCAATGCATCTCCGACCATGAACACATTTCCAGTGAACTCAAACACGTACGCCAAGCTCTTAAGGCTAATGGTTACTCCGACTACACAATCCGCAAAGCCATCACTCCAACCATCAAGAAGGATCCTGTTGAGGAGCCTTTCAAGACCATCACCTTACCCTACATTGCTGGGGTCACAAAAAAGATCTCCAAAATCCTGATTAAACACAAGATCCAGGTCCGATTCAACACAGTACATAAAATCCGTGATCTGGTCCCGTCTGTAAAAGATGTGGTTCCAGACATACAGTACCCTGGCGTCTACAAACTAAGTTGCCTCTGTGGTAGCAGTTACATTGGAGAAACCAAACGACATGTCTCGGACCGCATCCGTGAACATAAGGCAGACCTGAAACACGGTAGGACAAACACCTCAGCCGTGGCAGATCACTGTTACAATTCAGTGGGCTCACATGAGATTGACTTCTCCAAGACAGAGGTTCTCTGCAAGCCATCTGGCTATCATGAGAGATTCGTTCATGAGGCGATCCACATATACAAACACAGAGACAATTTCAACCGAGAAGATGGATTCTGGCTTAGCAATCATTGGAAGGACGTAATAAACCATTTCGGATCTTAACTGATTGTGTTCACGTTTACGGTGACTTTCAGACCGCGTTCCACTCACTGGCATGGTGCAGTGTGCAGAGTAATGTATGGTGTCGTAATTGTACAGTAAACATATAGCAGTATGATACACATTAGGGTGGGTAGAATAATACATAGTGTTATATTAAAATGGATAAGGCAGCAACTGCAGCAGCAGCAGCAAGTGCAGCAGCAGCAGCAAGTGCAGCAGCAGCAGCAACTGCAGCAGCAGCAGCAACTGCAGCAGCAGCAGAAACTGCAGCAGCAGCAACTGCTGCAGCAGCAGTAACTGCAGCTCCCTTTGATGCTGTTAATCCTGCATAATGCACATGCATATGCAGTACTAATCACATTCCTGCATTTCCCATAAATATGCTAAATTCCTTTTGATATGCAAATTCCTTTGTCAATGCGCCCAGCTTATATATATGCTCCAAGCTCGTGTGCTGTTTCATTCAGACTCTGTCGCCTCGACGGACCTGGTTTTCACCTGAGGACGGCTGCTTGCGTTGTGGCCGAAACGTCGTGAGAATTGTTTTATTATGTTTTATTTTTATTATTGTATTACTTCCCTTCTACGTGACTTTACCGAAAGAACCAAGAAGATGAATCCCTGCAGTCACGAAAGCTTTAAATCGAAATATGGAAAAGTTGCTTATAGCATTAAAAGCCACCTTTCAGTGAGTGGTTCTTAGGGCAAACAGCTTTATATATGTACAATTTGTTATCCTAATAACTTTGACATTGAAGTGAGTGTTTGTACGAATGTTCTTATACATTATAATTATGTAAATGTTGAGCCCATGGTCTAACTTGAAAGGAAATAGTTTTAGCATTGTGACGTGTGAATGAGACACAAGTGTGGAGTTTCATAACTCCGGTGCGTCCACTCTCACCTATTATAGATGTCGTCATCCTCTCCTCCCCAGCCCCAGTAATTGTTGGGAAAGCCATTTATCTTCTCAAATTGTTTTTTAGTGAGGCCAGACACTCCGCCAAAGCACTCTTTGTACGGGAGACTGCACGCAAAACACAATCATTACATTCCTTGAAATGTGGCTCGTATTGAAACAACAATGTTGGTCAGCTCACGTTGGTGAAGCAAGGCAGAAATTATTCAAGGATCACTCGCCACTCATGTTAACCGTGGCCAGGAATCAAACTCAGGTAGCAGAGCATAAAGCACACTGTGCTAACCAATGTGCCACAACTCCACCCCCAACATATTTCATCATGCACACAATTGCTTAATATTGTTAACCCTAATTCCTAAATTTATTTTTGAAAAGAAAAATAATATAAATAATGCCATTGAAGTTTTTAAGCTCCATATTTACCAGCAGAGGTGGGACAAAGTCATTGTTATGCAAGTCCAAGTCGAGTCTGAAGTCATCAAATTCATGACTCGAGTCTGACTCGAGTCCAAGTCACATGACTCGAGTCCACACCTCAGAGGTGGGACAAAGTCATTGTTATGCAAGTCCAAGTCGAGTCTGAAGTCATCAAATTCATGACTCGAGTCTGACTCGAGTCCAAGTCACATGACTCGAGTCCACACCTCTGTTTACCAGTTATGCTTATGACTAAATCAGCAGTGAGATCGCAGAAGCTCAGCAGGGTTGAGCTTTGATCGTGCTTTGACGGGAGACCCCAATGCATAGCAGGTCCTATAGTCTGCTGCGGGGCAACACTGTGGGAAGCAGATGGCAATGTAGCAATATCCATTGTTGTACTGTACTGTGCTTCTATGTTCCTGTGTGCATGTTTCCCACTGTCACCAACTCGCACTGCCGCAGCGTGGTGAAGTGTGGTCAAATTACTCCTCCTTGACCCGCACACGGTGGGAGGAGGCCGTCATCCAACAGTGGATTGACAAAAGGCTCAAAATGCACACGTTTGTCCATTGAGACCAGGGGCCTCTTTGAAAGGAGAGCTGGGAATAAAAGGTTTTCGGGGTGTCGGTCTCACATCTTTACATTTCCCCCGTGGTTCCATCGCGACATGCGTGCGTTCTCAATTGACGAGTGCATTGCCACACTTTATTACTTGGATCACATCTACAACACGGTGGATTGACAACAGGGCTGCATGATGAACATTATTTCGTTAACTGACGAGATGTTAGCTTCGTGGTTACTTACACAGGGCTCCGTGTTTTAGCAACAGAAAATGACCGGATTGTGCCTTGTCGACAGACGCAATTAGAGAGGGAAATTTACTCTGCCGTGTTGTCAAGCCTTTGGCTATTCTGAACACAGACTGCCGTAGAACAGGATTTTTTTCTACCTCTGTTTTTTTCTTTTGAAGTTGAGTTTGTGACGTTTTTGGGTTGGGTCTCATACTTTGCAGAAACGTAGCATTAAGGTATCATGCATGTCCATCTACAGGCCCACTTGTCGATCCACCATGCAGGAGGGGGAGGCAAATTGACCATACTTCACCACACTGGTCAGTGAGGGTTGGTTAAAAGCCGGGGGGGGGGGAGTGCAGAACAATAGTGGATTTGCTGTACTGCCCTCAAATGCCCACATGGCCTACTATGTCTGCGTTTTGTGCCTGGTGGTCGCCCATCTAAACACTATCCAGGCACAAAGCCTGCTTCGCTCCAAAAGTCATTTAGGGTTGGGTGCATTCTGGGTGATTTGTAAAAGCATTATGTAGCACATTTAAAGCTTGCAACAAAGTTATTAATGATATATACTGTATTTCTTACATGACATTAACTAGTCCTTTGTGAATCTGCTGCAACGTGTCGGTCATTTTGACCATACTTCAACGCGCTGGTCAACATGAGCTGATGTTAGCTGTGGCCAGAAATATAATCCTAAGGTCTATAGACATTTACAAAGTAGGTGCACAATTCAAGTGTATGTGTGCGCAAGTGTGCTCACAATGTGCCTGCGTAATAATATACATTTGAAAATAACAGTCAATTTAAACCACGTGCAATCAGCCTTAACACCCACGAGGGCTCGTGATATAAACGAGTCGAACATGCACGGCCAAAGAAGAGAACACATTGAAGACGACGACCACAGTAGAGACGGAGCGATAAGATCAGTCGGTGTGCGGAAGTGAGATGGGCGGTAGCGGCATTGGACACTGAGGAATGGTCATGGCATAGAGAGGCCTTTATCTAGCAGTGGATAAGACGCATAGCTGAAGAACATGATGAGCATGCAAAGCCTGCATGTATTGATGCATTAATTAGTCAATTTTAAAATATATATTGTGGTCATTATTTCATAAACATGAAAGATATTTGTTAATGTTTAATTTGGGTAAAATGTAACATCAACGTTCATTGGGAACATTCATTCAGAATATCATTGCAGAAAGGACCTATTTCAAACCAAACTTGCCTCTCGTACAGGAAACAAATTCCTGAGATGAACCATTTATCACTCTTATCACCCTCAGCCAGTGTAAATCCACTGCTGGATAAATACCTCTCAGACTGCCACCGTCCTTCACGGTCATGCGATGCGACAATCTATCCCCACTCCTGCAAAGGGACCGATCTCATCACTCCACTTCGTCGGCGGCTAACCTCGCGTGTGCGTTCTCTTCTTCGGCTGTTATTCCATTCCAGGTGTTGTCCATTGGCCATCATTCTTTCAATGTGAGGTGTCCTTGTCAATGCCCACTTAAATTTCGATTTAAAGCTTTCGTGACTGTAGGGATTCATCTTCTTGGTTCTTTCGGTAAAGTCACGTAGAAGGGAAATAATAAAATTATAAAAATAAAACATGATTAAATAATTCTCACGACATTTCGGCCACAACGCAAGCAGCCGTCCTCAGGTGAAGAACAGGTCTGTCGGAAAGACAGCGTCTGAATGAGCACCACCAGGCTTGGCAGCGTATATTTAAGCTGGGTTGGAGGGGGAAGGGCACCTTGACAAAGGCATTTGCATATCAAGATGAATTTAGCATATTTATGGGAAATGCAGATATGGGATTAGTCACTACTTGTGGAATGCGTAGGAGGTGGGCGGGGGGTTTCAAAGTCATATTATGCCCGTGCATTATGCAGGATTAGCAGCATCAAAGGGAGGGAGTAGGGTTAGCAGTAATAAAGGGAAGGAATTTTAATAGTAAGGAGCTGCAGCAGCAGGAGTTTCAAGTGGTTGTTTCTGCATGGTGGGAGAAACAGCTTGGCGGATAGTGCGGTCAGAGTATCCGTTCATCTTGAGGGCCCGATGTACATGTTTTAATTCACTGGCCAGGTGGTGTTGGTCAGATATGCCATGAGCTCTGTGGTATAGTGTTTTGATGAGATAATTATTTTGAGCCGGGTGGTGGTGGGAATCAGGTTTCAAGTGGGAATCTGTGTGGGTGGTTTTCCTGTAGACAGAATGTCCCAATGATCCATCAGGTCTCCTCTCAAATAGAACATCTAAAAATGGTAGTTTGCCATCTTTCTCCACTTCCATAGTGAATCTGATGGATGGGTGTCTGGAATTGATGTGGTCCAGGAATTGGTTCAATGCTGGGAGGCCATGTGGCCAAATGACGAAAGTGTCATCCACATACCTCTTCCACAGGGAAGGATGTAGGGTGGACGTCTAGATTGCGTTTGATTCAAACTTTTCAGCCGGCCCGAAGTGGGTCACGAAGGACTGGAGTTGGACTGCAATGGATTGAGATAAACTGTTGCGTAAAAGTTCTGGTCGAGAAAGGCTATGATTGGCACAAGCGTGGAGGCTCGAGCGGCACGCGTACCTGAAGTTGAACTTATCGACAGCGACGGAGAAGTGCCGGGGGTTGTCGTAGCAGCGGTAGAGGTTGCGGTCGTCCATGGGCACCAGGTCGACGTCGCTGAAGATGAAACAGTCGTAGGGGGCGTCCTTGAGGGCCTCCACGTAGCCGATGTTCATGAGCTTGGCTCGGTTGAACAGCCCCTCTCCAAACTGCAGCCACCGCATGCCAATAATACAGTTTTCCAGAAAATGCATGCCTTGCAACTAAGCTTTACGACTATAGCTTTATAATTTGTGGTTTAAGACTTAGCTTTAGAACCGAGGTTTAAAGCGTAAATTCATGAGCTTTGTCTGTCTGCACGTCAGTCTGTAACGCGTGGTCAAAACAGTGTTCGTAACTATGATCCAATATGAGCAAGACTTTAGTATTAAGTTGTTTTGTGTTAGGGACAAGCCCGATTGAAAACTGGCCAAAGTGATAAAAGGGTTTCCCAAACTCGGAGACACAAACCAAAAGGACCATTTGCAAATATGCAAATTAATTTTGTCATGACCACTACCTGTCAACTTCCCTCCTGCGAATGAAATGCTTAAAAGGACAAACCCATTTCGTTGGAAAGTATTGCATAATCCATGCATATGAATGATTGTCTTCGTTGATTATATTTTATTTTAGTGAAACACCTCCACATTAGAATGACCAATTTATAAGCTCAGTGCTCAGAGGTCAGAGGTCTGAAGTTGCACCACTGAGACACTGGATTTGAATCTAGGTATCAGCCACCCATGATTTAAAACAGATTTTCGAGAGTAACGAGTTGATGGAGTTGATCATCTTAGCACGGTCATATAAACTTGATTAGATTCCAGCTCTGATCATGAAATGTCGTGGCTTGACTAAAATGTGATTACCATGTCTCTATGTATCAAGGTGGGTGACAAAGTGCTGTCCTCAATGTCAAAGAGATCCCTTACAGAGATACTGCGATATGTCCTTCTAGGAACCGTTCTCTAACACCGGTCTGTGAAGAGGGCAATTGTTTTTTTTTTCTAACAGTGACCAAGCGACTCAACTTTAAACCAGAGTGAGCAATTGAATCAGCTGGACGGTGGAGAGGGGGCAATTGAATGTTGACTACATCTCGTGTACCTGGTTGATGATGTAGACACCATACTCTACGCGCTGCCGCTGGAGTATTGGGTGCAGGTAGTAGAGCCAGTGCTTGAGGTGGTCATCCCGGTGCCGGAAGGGGACGATGATGGCCACCTTCTGGCTAGGGATGCAGTTCGAAGGGCGGAACTGGCCGCCCAGCTCCACATCCGGATTTGATTTCTCTATCGCTTCCAGACTCTGCGGCGTCTTCACAAATGAAACATTCATCGCCCCCACTGTCAGGAGAGAAAGACAAACACACAGATGTATTGGTCTGTACCTATGTAAAAATATTTAAACAACGGTAAAGGTGCTGCCCTGCAATTATGTGCTTATGCTACTGCTGGCAGAAGAGCCTCCAATCGAGGAAGCTCCAGTGCTCTGGAATTAACAAATGGGTGGCGAGATGTTAACTACCTCGCCTGGCATACAGGAGGTCGTGGTGTTCGATCCCAACCCTGACACGTGTATATTTGGAGCTTGCGTGTTCTCCCCGTGGCCGTGTGGATTTCTCCAGGTCCTCCGGTTTTCCCCTCCACATTTAGCAACATGCGTTTAGAGTATTTGGCTGCTGTAAATTTCCATATGATATAAGCCATTTAGTTGAACTATTATTTGTGCCTTGGTCGCTTCTGAAAAAGAGCTATACAGTAGGGCTGAACGATTTGGGGAAAATATCTAATTGCGATTTTTCAACAGATATTTCGATTTGATTTGCGAATATTTTTTTAAAAGTCAAGCTTTAGTTCAATATTCACTGTGTAATAGATTTACAACATGTGATGGAGCATTGCCACATTATACCATCACCCCGCAACCAGGTACTCATTTGAGGCCGAGTCAACCTAGGGGTGGCTCAGGACCGGTTCAGATTATAGTCACCTGTGTCGGCCGTGAGCCAGGAATCGAATTCTGATCACCGGGGGTTCGCAGCGCGGCACGCGAATCCCGCACCTGCGACTAGCACGGCTGCTTTACGCACGGCGCAAACGAAGTTCAACACCCGTCATCGTTCCACCACGGCTCCCCACATATACACTCACACAGGTGTGCGGGTCTGTCCGGGCAGGGAACCTGTCTTGGCGCTTGGAGAGGGGTCGGGAACTGTCGAAATCCGGGAATGGCGTGTTGCTCCGTGAGACCTTGAGAAGCATGTTCCAGCTGCTGCTGCTGCTGATGAGTCTGAGCCCAAATGAACGTCATCACCTGCTCGTGCGCCTTCGTGTAGAGCACCAACACGAAGAAGCAATTGGCTCCAAACGCCACGATAATCATGCCGGCGAGTCGCTTCTTCGTTGCGCTGTACATCGCAGCGGCCAACTTCTTCTTCCACACCCTTGCACACGGGTTCATGTACCGCGACGGGGCTTGCGAGACAGCCAAGCAAGTACTGTAGCTTAACCGACTTCACCAACTCATCCGATGTGCATTACGACCGGGCTCATCGGCCGGAGGCAAATGACTCGGATAGCGATTTGCTGCCGGCGAAAACGCAGCGCCAAAAGCCTCCTGAAATCCTCGCCGATTTGGACGCGCAGGTGAACACGGGTTTGTTGTCGGCGATACAAAGCGGCTTGGGAAACCGAACCCCGCCCGTCGGTGTATTCTAACCGAATTGTTAATGTCGGCTCATGTGTCCGAGACATATATATAAACGCGCACACACCTTTCTCTATTGGAGTTGTCCGCCCATGCGCTTGTGACACGAGTTTTCTGCTGTAGCGACCTGATGATGATGATTGTGGCAACTTGTGGGGCATGTTGGTTGCGGTGGCTGTGCGTATAACAATTTCGCCCCCTGGTTTTGCAATGGGCGTTCCCAGTTAAGTCAGAGGCGGCGTTTAAAGGCGGTGAGCAAAGCAAGCAAAAGAGAAGAAACTCAAAGGGGCATCGGATTCATGAAAAAATAGTAGTGGACAAATGATTAGCTGAATGTCAAATGTTTAGAAACGTAATCAGCAAATTAACGTTTAGAACGCGAAGTGTTACCTCGCCTTCGTCTTGTCTGCATCTTTGTACTCATCTCGCTGCATCTCTATTCGTGTCAGCATTTCGATAATCTCACTAAAATTGTATGTTCTTTTTGTCTCAATCTCTTCTGTCATCTCACTCGGATTTTATAGATCGAAAGGGGAGCCCTCTACAAATAAACTAAACTATTTTATTTTATTTTACAAGGTAAGGCCCGCTGAGCTATATAGCTCTTTTTAAGAAGCAACCTGGCCACAAATGGCCACTAATTGGCTAATACCAGAAATGTGCTTAATAAAGTGAACGGTGATTTGCACGTGACTTTACCACTGACATAATTGCTATGAATGCTATGACTCAGGTCGATTATGGCTGAGGCTGTATAAACGTTTAATTTACACATGTTCGTGACCTAATATTTTTAAACACCGTTTTGAATTTGTGTTTCAGCACTCTTGTTTATTCTGTTTGCAGTGAGTTATTGGCGTGGGTTTCATGTAATTATTTTGACGTTTTTGCTATTGTTAGTTTGCACAATCTCATCCTGCAATTGCCACCACTGCGAGGTGGTTGTCATGGTCACATAGTTGCCTAGCTCTACGGGGGCCTTACCAGTTGAAATAAAGTCCTTGTCTGATATTTTTTAAAGATAACATTTTAAGCATTTCCTCTCCAGTGTTTCTGCAAAAACCACGTCTGCGACACCTACAATATGGAGATGACACGCGCAAAGAAGCATGGAGAGACGCATGCTTTGACACCGACAAGAAGACAAAAACGTGTATAAGAAAACGAGCAAAAATCATATATCCTGTAAAGGGATTTTGACCTGGACAGGGCAGACACATCACGATGATGGACTGAAAAGACAAGACTGGTGGACTAAGTGGCAAATTGCTCCTCATTCATTGAAATTTATGGAGCAAGCCAGGATGATATTTCTGGACATACATAACACGTAGAAACACACGCACAGATTAAACCCATTCTGACATTTTCTGTAAATGATGAGAACATTATTTGAGATGAAAATATACTAATATATTAACACCCAGGTTTGTCATTCTGTGACTCTGTGACTAATGCGGCACGGATTGGTTGAAGTGTGTCACGTGACCGCGAGCAAGCAGCCAACCAGAGGTGCACCCCTCCAAACATGTACGCCCCCGGATTGTTTGAAGTGCGTCACCTGACCGCGAGCAAGAGACAGGTGAGTGAAAGTGAGACAGAGCCATGCTCTGTCCACTGCTGGCCTGGGGGAGAGCCATACTATCTCCATTGCTGCCGTGAGGGTGCCAGACGCGCTCTCTCCACTGCTGCCCTGAGGGAGAGCCGTGCTCTGTCCACTGCTGCCCTGAGGGAGAGCCGCGCTATCTCCACTGCTGCCGTGAGGGAGCCAGACGTGCTCCGTCCACTGCTGCCCTGAAGGAGAGCCGCGCTATCTCCACTGCTGCCGTGAGGGAGCCAGACGTGCTCCGTCCACTGCTGCCCTGAGGGAGAGCCGTGCTCTCTCCTCTGCTGCCCTGAGGGAGAGCCGCGCTCTCCACTGATGGCCGCCTGAGGCTCGCGCTCCCGGGGTGCGCTCCGTCGCTTTAAGATGTTCTGTGTTCATATTTTGTTTGTTGCGGTTGCACCCGATTCAAGAGCCGCATGGCTCACAGGGCTATACCTAATCAATGAAACTTGAAACCTAAGACCCTTTAAGAGCTTCCAAAAAATCCTAACAGTTCTTTCACTGATTAATAAGTGATAGCTGTTAGAAGTTAATGTCAATCACAACTAAAGTTTACATACATTTTCATTCATTCACATTAAAGTGACATCGCGGGATCGTCAAAAAAGGTCTGTAGAGTGAAAGTTTTAAGTGAAAGCCGCGTAAAGCCGCTCTTATTCGACTTATTAAAAGTCGTCAAGTACAGCGAAGCTGTTCACGTTGTTTTATAGTTTTTTAATCGTAATTCACTATCAGCCGTACATCTGATCGTCTCTCAAGCCATTAGGTTAAAAAGTAGTTGAAGGTGAGTTCTTTAAAAATTAAACCTGACAAACAATGCACACGGTTCTACATTAGTACTGGAGTATTTGGGGTGCTTAAATCCACTGCTGGATGAAGGCCCACCGCACGCTGTGCGAGTGGATCGTAAGGATTTACTTGACCAGTCTGTTGGGGGCTGCCGCAGGCCATAGGCGCCCCCCAACAACATAGTAGTCACATAGTCACTTTAAGATGTTTTCTTGTTCATGTTTTGTTTCATGTTTTTGTTTTTTGTTTGTTGCGGTTGCACCTGATTCAAGAGCCGAATGGCTCACAGGGCTATACCAAATAAATGAAACTGAAAAAAATGTGGTGCATCTGTCAGTCAACCCATGGCACCTGGGTCTGTGCCATGATTCCTCTTGTCAGCAAGCCCTTCGACACTTCACGTGGCCTCGCAGTTTACCTGGACTGGTACACGCGCCATGGTGGCGAATAGCGGCGATTGTTGTTGGGTCGTGAAGTCCCCCCCACTACTATCCCCGCCCCACCATACAGTCCCCCCCCATCCCCCCACTACTATCCCCACCCCCCCGCATACAGTCCCCGCCCCCTACAGCCCCCCCTTCAGCCCCCCCACTACTGTCCCCGCCCCCCCTACATACCCCCCTACAGCCCCCCCCCCCACTACTGTCCCCCCCCCCCCCGAAAGGTCCCCGCCCTCCCTACAGACCCCTGTCCTCCTACAGCCCCCCCACTATAGGGTGGGGCCTAAGCAGGAAAGAGTGGGGCCTAAAGCGGATTTGTATGGTTATTTACACCCGCAGTTTATTAATAGGGGTGGCAAATGGAACTGAACCGTAAACTTTAGCAACGAAGTGAATGCCTAATGGCAGACGGTTCCACCACCATTGTGGATTTGCATATGTAGGGGTGTCAGGGGAAGGATTCCCACCAATAGATGGGTTAGTGGGAGGGGTGATCGAGGAGATATAAGGAGAGAACGGGCGGGAAGAAGGGGCCTTTGGCGGGAACGATATTGGGACGGCTGGGGGACAGGTGTGGATGGAAGGAAAGGAATAAAGGACGAGACCCCTGCAATCTGGTGTCGGCTCCTACTTTACATCTGGTGGCAGCGGTGGGATCTCATGGCTACAAAGAAAAATCCCCGCGGGAAGGAGCCAAGGGAGGAGGAAGCAGGGGCCGGGGATCCTTCCCATCCCGGGCAACAAGAGGGCCTGCTATCAGAAGCAGCAGCAGGGGGCCCGGATCGCCTGGAGGACCCCATGGAGGACCGCATGGCCCGCGTGGAGAGGGCACTCCAGGAGCTCCTACAGAGGCTCCCTATGGGGGGCCCGCCAGCACCGGGACCCCCACCCCCACGCGTACTACGGGAGGAGAGGCCACGGGACCCGGAGGCCGACCAGCCGGCCGGGCAAGAGCCGCAACCAACCTCGTCACGCCAGCCGCCGCCGGTCCCGCCAAAACCCCCAGGGCTAAACACCCAACACGGAGAGCAGGTGGCCGGACGGCCGCGTCGGCTGGGGCCCGTCGACAAGTTCGTGGCTGAGGAAGAAGACTGGGAGGAGTTTGTCTGCCGATTCGAGGCTGCCTTCCACGCTCTCGAGTGGACAGACGAAGAGGCACTACGAGCGCTGCCATCCGTTCTGGGCAAGGAAGCACTCGCCTCTTACACCTCCCTTCCCTCGCACAGCAAGACCACGCTACAGGCGGCCTACGAGGCTTTGGGGGAGATCTATTGCCCGGCGGAAGGAGCCTTTAAACGGTTCCAGGATCGCCAGCGAGGGGCTAAAGAATCCCCTTTAGCCTACAGGGGTGCACTGCTCGTGTTGGCGAGGAGAGCTTTCCCTCGCCTGGCTGAAGAAGCGCTCGAGGACCTCGTGGTCGAGCACCTCATCGCCTACGCTTGCCGCGCCGGCGTTGTAATGCCCGTGGTGACGCCGGGGGAACGCACCTCGCTGTGGGCTGCCCGGACCATCCAAGCCCACGAGCAGGTCATGGGCCGGGCGCCACCCGTGGGCCCGGTGGCTGGCGCGGCGGGGGGGAACAGCCGAGCCGTTGCCGCGGCGCTACTGGGTCCAGCGACACCAACCGCCGAACCTGCACCGTCGCCACAGGCTGCCTGTGGGGCAGCTGGGGACGGACCCCCGACGTCTGAGATGGAGCCATCGCTGCGGGAGGTGTACGCGGCGATCCGGGGACTGGCGGAGCAGAGGGACCATGGGCGCGACCAGCCGCCGCGTCGCTGGCAGCCGCCTCTACAACATCGCGCCGAGCCCCCCCGACGGAACGCCCCGTGGGTCTGCCACCGTTGTGGTCGAGAGGGGCATGTGGCGAGGGGGTGCCGCACAGAGCCGGAGGCCGCCAACGTCACCTGGAACCCGCCGGGGCCGAACGCCGACAGGATCCAGGCGAGTGACGCCGTCCCGCCCGGCCTCTCGGTCGGGCCGAGCAATTACAATTCCGACGCCGCGAACTTACCGGGAGTCTCCTCGGGGTGGGCGCCGTCGGTGTCGTTCCCCGGTCCCCATTGTCCGGGTCGAGGGAAGGGGATCGCGCCGGGGATAGCGCCGGGGCCTGTGATTGCGTCGCGACCAGAAGTGGCGTCGCGACCCGGAGTGGCGTCGCGAACGGACGTGACGTTGCATCCGGAAGTGACGTCGCGGCCAAAAGTGGTGTCGCAGATCGCGCTGGGAATTGCGCCGGGGCCGTGGACCGCGTCGGGGATCGCGCCGAGGCCGGAGACCGCGTCGGGAGTCGCGCCGGGGCCGGAGACCGCGTCGGGAGTCGCGCCGAGGCCGGGAGGGACGTCGCGGGC